AGTAAGTTAGTAATGTAGTTAGTAAGTAAGTAATAGTATCGTTAACTGTATTTTATAAATTTTATATGCTAATAAATATATTTTGTATAATCGATTTGTTTTATTTCTTAACGGTAGCTATATTTAATTATACGTTTTTTTTTTTGTATGTCTATGTGTTCATGATGACATTGTGGGAATAAAAATATAAAAGCTTTAAACTATCTAATCAGTAGGGTTTAATCTGAGAGGAGTTAATTAGTACCCATGAAATAAACCCTCTGAGTCAGACCCATTACTTAACGACCTTCAAAAGGTGATAAAAATTAATTAGAGATTATAGGATTTTTGTTAAAACTTGCTTCTACAAGTCAGAACAGGTATGAAATACATCACACCTGTTGATTCAACCATTTGTCCCATACTCTTTTCCAGCGGTCGTTTGAAGGTTATTTGTTTTATATTCTCACAATGAAGCAAGGAACTTGTACACTCTTTTGGATTAGAAATTATTTAAAATATCAATTTTACGCTAGAGTAATTTTTTGTGGTAATTTAATTTGATATAATTTATAAACTTGTCTTTTATACTTACAATTTATTCACAATTGTTTCAATGTTAATATAATTTTTGTATTTCACATTATTAGTTAAGTAGATATATATTTTTATTAATTTAGAAAACGTTTTGTCTTTTACCTTACACTTGTACATTATTCTGATCACCTCTTTTTTCACTTTAAAAATAAAACAACACAATTTTAAATAATATATTTATTTAATATTATTCAACTCTTTATTTTATTGAAAAAATAAAATACATCATATTTAAAAAAAATATTAAAAATCAAGTCATTTGAGAAAAAAATCGATTTATTTTACAGTAAATAAATGAAAATATTTTTCATTCATTCATACATACATTATACCTACAATATACTTATAAACTAAAAAATACAATTAAAAATATAGGTATGTTGTAAAAAGATGTTGAAAAAAGGTAGGTATATTAAACATTTCACATATATTACAAAGTTAAAATATATACAAAATTAAGGAAATACATAATCTGCAAAGAAAAAAAATTAGAAAATCATGAAAATAATATCGTTTCCTGTGTGGTTTATTTTGAATAGCTTTAACACTTTAAACAACTCCGTTAGTATTGTGCACAAAATATGCTGTCACAATATTCCCAATTTCTCCCAAAACTACGGCGCGACGTCGAGCATCCGGAAGTGTTAATCTTACCAAGTCAGCTCTCTGCTGAAGAGCACTTATTTGGGTTTCTAAACTATTTAGTTCACTCTCGATATTCTCAACGTCTTGCCGGCCTTGCAAAGTTTGAGAACTTATTGTTTGTACATATTGTTCAACATCGTCTCGAATAGGTTATTGATAATTACATTGTTTATTTACAAATATGTACAAAATAAAACATTATTTTTTATTTAGATTTGTATAAAAATTACCTATTTTAAATAATCAATTAAACCAAAGCTTTTAAGTGAAATAGTTTAACACACTATTATACCGTTATATAGAAAGAATTTTTATGATGTTAATTAGAGGGCTCAGGTAAAAGACACTTTCTACAAAACGGTTTAACTTAGCTCAAAGACGATGAAAAATATCCACCTAAATCTTTATATTTAAACGAATAATGCTACGAGTACAATACATATATTAAATAGTAAGTGTTATATAAAAACTTCCTATTATATCTTGTACAGGTATGAATTTTCCAATTAAATAATTAATTTTGCTTGCTTAATTCCTCCAAACCAAGTATTAAATATTTCAAACTTTTATCGCTATCGCGTCCGACCGATTTTTCCAAAACACTCGCGATATACTCAAATTTCTTTTCAGAATCGTGAATGTGATGGTGGATATCTTCTTTATGCCCCCATGCAAGACTTTTACAAGTGTTGGGTATTATAAACCTTTTATCGTCTTTATGGGACAAGGCTATTTTATTTTGTAGCTCCGTAAAAATGTTATGAAGTTCGCTTCGGAATGAATTCATTTTCCTAAATATGAGCCCTCCTTTTTCAACAATTTTTTTATAATCTTCGATAGTCAGATTCTTTTTAATAACCGACTTATTCACCCCTTTAGCTTTCTTCATTTCACTATTTACGGACTTTACACAATATGCTTTAGCACCTATCCTATAAAATTCGATAATTGGGTCAGACGCCATTTCATCTTTAAATCGACCCAACACACTTTTTGAAACAGGTATACCAAATTTGTTTCCATCTTTGAAATTTGATGTGTCAAATATATTAAGATTTGCTTTCATGAAATCATAAAAATTTTCACTATATATTTTTATAATTAAAGAATCAGTGTCGGTGTACAGTGTACAAGAGGCGTTTTCGTTAAAGTTTTTCTTAATGATATTATAAAAGAAATTATATAATACGGTTTTGGATAATTCTAATACGCTGAAACCCAGAAATATAGGTTTGTTTTGATTAATTTTTACTTTATCCATATGAATACACACAAAATCTTCATTGAAAATTGTACACGATTTGAAATTAGGGCGGGCGATTAATCCGTTCGCTCCTAATATTTTTCCATGTTTTTCCCAATGGGTAGCTAATCTTATATCAAGTCTGGACTCTACACACTCCATTGTTTTACCGTACATCGAATTGTTCATTAATTTATACAAGTCTTTTTTGAATTTATTTACAGCATTATTCCGCATCTCTGTATTTAAATCAATATAAACTTTCAACCACGGACTTTGACAAAATTTCATTATGCGATGTGTTTTCGTAATTTTCAAACCATTTCTCACAGCCTGTTTTAAATTTACATAGTGTAAAATATAATTATATTTACTATTTAAATTTGGTATTAATTTGGAAATTTTTGAATTTGCTTGTGGGGGAATTATATTTTCGGCAAGAAAGGGGAGTTCGTTGTGTAAATTATGCAGTTCCTCGGGATATTCTATATCGATTTCCAACGCGTAGCCATAAGGACCGTCATCAGGAACGTCCATAACATTAAAATTTGTTATGTCATCTTCAGTCAACCACGAGAACCCGTTTGTTGGTAAGCATTGTGACATACTGTGCCCGTACAAATTAGTTGCCTCGAGATAAGTTATAAATGAGGTAGGTTTTGACGGATCAAAATTTGGTAAAAATTTGTTATTCGCGATGTGCATTCTCTCTGAACACTGACTAATTCCACCACGAATTCCCTTTTTAAAAAATATAACCATATCAACATCCGTTAATAATTCTAACTCTATTTTAGTTAGTCTTAACATTGACTCCCACGAAAAACCTGGTAGAGTGAAAAAATTTGCAGGATCAAGTTTGTATTTTTCTAAAGAAATGGTTCGGAAATTCTCAAATACATCACATAAAATAAGAACATCCGATTTTAAATAAATATCCGAGTAATCCCCTAAACTATTACAATTAAAAGTATTCCATGTTTTTTGCGCTCTCTTATAATCTTCATCTGATATATGTTCCTCGTTCAGCTGATCATAAAATTCTGATTTCGTAGGTAATTCTGTATTATTTAATTTATTCATATCAGTTAAAAAACTATAAGGGAACACACCTTTCTGTCTAATTAAATTAAACTGTTCGCGATCCGGGAAATGCCTAGACGTTTCATCGAATTGATTATCATCTAAATTATTTGCCAAATTTCCAAGGGAAGTGGATAAAAATTTAAAACTGTCGATAAATCGCATTTTCAAATATTTTTTTGTTTTACCATCTTTACTAGTATAATCACACATATAAAGATGTTTTGTAAACGAAATATATTTTTCTTTACTCTGCGCTATCACATCGACCCGGTCGTTATCTGAACATAAATCTTTTAAAAATAAATGAGCATCATAATTTTGATTGTTATGCAATATGATCGGAATAAAGTTGGGTATTTTATAATTTAAATTACAGATTGAGTGTGTTGCGCCTAAAAAAACGCCCGTTAGATGGCAATGATTTTTTATTTTTAACTCATTTTCCTCAAACGGTTTTTCGCACAGAGTACAACTTCTTGCGTTGAGAAACTCTTCTGTTTCTCTTTCAGATAGGGGGTTCATCGGGATTATGATTTTTAAATGATTATTGTAAATACGCGTTAAATCTGATTCTAAACGTATTATAAACTCTTTTGCGGCATTCTCTCCTCTATACAAAACAAATTTTGATAATGAATTATTATACGAACATTTTATAAAATAAGCAAACGAAATAGGTTCGTGGCAGAAAGTTTTACATGTAAATGACTTTTCAGAGTTAGGTTGGCATATATCAATAGGCTTTTAAATAGACTCGAAATCAGCATAAACTACAAAAGGTACTTTCATTTGTTTTTCGAAACTTTCAAATCTTAATATATTTTCAGGGACACTTTTGCCAAATTTGTCTATTCGGGGCTTATTGGTGGGTGTAGTNATTACGATATGTACACTTTAATTATCACGGCGCGCTATCGCGCGCCGCCCTGTATAGCGAGGACAATGTTACCAATCAATTACGATATGTACACTTTAATTATCACGGCGCGCTATCGCGCGCCGCCCTGTATAGCGTGATTTCAATCCTTCCATATAAGAAACACGTTATATTAAATAAGTATCATTCTGTCATAACCCTTCAACGATTAATGTTACCTATCAATTACGATATGTACACTTTAATTATCACGGCGCGCTATCGCGCGCCGCCCTGTATAGCGAGGACATATGACGTAACGCACGACCACCAAAGTGGCGTTTTACAAACGGCCTCCTCTGCATAAAACTCGTACGGAATAGTTATGATAAGGGAGACGTTTCTGTAATGTGGGGGGAGGAGTTTTTCAACCGGTGGCCGGTTCTGAAAGCGGCGTAGCAGAAACGAGGCCGGTTCTGAGAGAAATTGTGGCGGCGTTTGTTAACCGGCCAATCATCACTACTTGCACGACCTGTTGCAATCATGGTTTCAGCTAAATTTACCAAGAAATTAAGAAAAGGCAGTTTTGGATTATTACGCAACTCTACAAATAATCCAAGCATTCACAGCGGAAGTCAAAAGAAGCGTATAAAACACTTTTTTCCACCATTTCAGTGACTTCCTGTCAATATCGTATAACCCGGTGAACTGATCTGACAAGTCTACACCGCCCATATTGGCGTTATAAAATCCTATTGCTTCCGGGCACTCCACATTTATTTTGGATCCATCTATGGATCTTCGGGTTACCTCAATTTTTACATCTCTATGGCAACTGCTAAGTACCAATACTTCTTTCGTGTCCTTCCAAAGAAATCCTATCGTCCCGTTGTCATTATGCATGCTTTCAATTTCTCCCTTTCTCCTTTTTCTCTTTTCAAACTTAGGCATGTTCTTTCTTGACGCAATGCACGTTCCGACTGCTGGAAATGGCAACTGATCTAATAAATCTACAGAAGTGAAAAAGCGATCAAAACAAAAAGACACATTTGGCTCTCCGACTGTATCTGTAAGTTTTCTTACAACTCTTTCACCTAAAGTACCATCAAGGACTTCAGCTTCCTTCCCAGAGTAAATGTTAAAGTCGTAAACGTAACCAGACTTAGCATCACACCGTTGCCAAATTTTAATACCTCGTTTTATTGGCTTCAAAGGTAGGTATTGCTTGAGAGTCGATCTGCCTTTGAATTTGGTCATTGATTCGTCAATGGATTGGTGTGAAGATTCTGTTCTTATTTCAGCAAAAGTTTTTTTCAGACAGTTGACGACATCTTCAATGTAGTACAACTTGCTGCACTTGTCAGGTTTTTTGGGTGAACTGAAGTAAAGTTTACTAACTAACAACTGAAACCTGTCCCTTGAAATGGCTGATTTTATAGCATCATTTCCCAACGACTTATTAGAAGACCAATAATGATGCATTGCAGGGACCTTATTGTAGGCCATAATTAGAAGGCAGCCTATCACAATTTTTATTTCATGAGCATCTGTTAGTATTTGCTTTTTTTTAGTGGTTTCTTCTAAAATTTTCAAACGCTCGTTGGTACACTGCGCGATGTAGTGGAACAAACTGTTAGGAAATAATTTCATAAATATGTGTAGTTCTGAAGACCCTCTATTCAAATCAGCTAGAATAGAGCAGACTCTTTCTTCTGGAATGCTGAAACGGGGGACAAAGTTCTCATCAACTTTATTCCATCCAACTAAGTTAGGTTTTTTTTGGTTGATGTTGCGGAAGTAGCGTCAATAACATCTGACTGTTCGCTTTCATTCTCTGACGAGCTAGATGTCTCCAAATTGCAATCGTGATTAGCAGATGAGTTTTTGGCAGCAATTTATTTTTATATTTCTTCTTAATAATACGTTTTTTCTTAGGTATTATTTCAAAATCTGAGTCGCTATCTGACTTATGCTCAGACTCGATATATTCAGATCTACTATCTTCGAATGGATCCTGAATAGACTCAATATCGGATAGATTTTCGGCCAACACCTCTAATTCTTGGCGGGTCAAATACCTCCTAAAATTAAAATAAAAGTTGTAGTTTCTATACTACCGGGACACATATAACCCACTATAAAATACTGGTGGGACACATATGTCCCGGAACCCCCAAACAGAAAATATTGTGCAAATAAACGACGTGAATTTACAAAAATGTGTTAATTTCAACTTACCTTGCCATTATAACAACACTGTAACAAGATTGTTAAATTGTGGCACAATAATACGATAATTACTGGCAATAACACATGCACTATACGCAACGCGACGTACACCATAATAAATTTTGAGGTTAACTAAGACTGGTGTTAATAAGGTGGACTGTTGTGTACGCGAATATATACCTAGTACTAGCAGCACGGTTGTGACAGTTTGAATAGGGATTTATAATGCATTGGTATGCTTGCAGTGTTTTTTAAAATTTCCTTGGAACATATATAACCCATTAGTATTTTTAAAGCAGAAAAAATTATATTGTAGCCGGAGCGAAAGGGTTAAGTCTTTCTCCTGTACAGTTTGTTGCTGGTGCACTAAGGATCATTCTTAAGGCAATGTCAATGTTTGGGTAGATTTCAACTGCATCAAAATGAGACCTTGGTAATGTCCGTTAAAGTCATGCTGCTTTTTACTTTGGGAGTATTTTGCACCAAAAAGGTTTTCAAATGTAAACACTCGTCAACAAAAACTGGCTGTAGATCTTCGGGGTACAATCTCAATAGTTCCGCTGTATGTTTGCTGATTTCTGAGGCTTCTAGTCCTTTAACAACTTCAAAAAATCCAAACTTGTATAGTTGAGTGTATTTATTTCCATGTCGCTTAAGTTCGGAATGTAAGCTATCTAATATGACATTGAAAGTGTTCACACGAAAGTTATCAGAACCTGTGAATTCAACATCACTGCTTTGTCCACTATAATCATCAAACTTGGTAGATATTTTCTTTTTGCGTCGGTTGTCTGCTACATACTCCTTCCTGCCACATTTGTCTCTTGCTGCTTCGTCTAGGCTATCGAAGGTTTCTCTTACTTCTTAAAGAAAACCACAAAGAGATTCATAGTAAGTAATAATCTTCCCTAGCTCTGTAGTTTCAAACTGCAGTTTTATGTTCATCTTGTTAAACCTTTCCAATATGGTACTCCATAAAATTGATATGAATGTTGTCTCTATGGAGTTCAACTTTTCTCTCAAAGCATTGGCTTCATTCCTTGTTGAAGGTTTCTCATCATGGTTAGTAGAAATTTCATTCAAACTTTCCAAAATATCTTCTGTGTTTTCACTTACAACTCGGCATGCGTCGTGATGAGTAGACCATCGAGTCTTAGATAGGCTTTGTAACTTAAGGGTACAGTTTTTCTGCAGAATAGCACAACTGTGGGCACTGAAAAAATTGAAAAGTGACTGCAGCAATCCAAAAAATGAAATAGCCTCTGTACATGATTCTGCTGCACAAGAACCTATTAAATTCGTATTCGTATGACTGTGCTCTGCAATTAGAAATGTCCAAATCAAGTTTTCCAAACAGTTGTAGAACTGCTTTGACGATTTCCTCAGCTTTATGTCCCACATTTGGCACAAAACAAATAAACCTTTCAACTGGGACGCCATCACTGGCAACATGTCTGCCATAAGAGCAATAAGTTCTTCATATATTGTCTTTGAAATATAAGATGTGGTTCCGGAACCTTTATCACCATATTGCCTTAAATGTTCCGCCATGAAAGGGTTGAATTCAACTAGGAATTGCAATAGTCCAAGAAAATTCCCACTGTCAAGATTTTTTAGGTGTTCATGAGTACCACGTAATGCCAGACCCTGAACAGTTAAATATTTAACTGCCGCCACGACTCGCGTAAGTACCCTCCAATAATGGATCTCTAGTTCGAGAGCCTCTGTAAGCTGGCTGTCAACACGGCCTTTTAAACTACCTCTAAATTTTAGTTTCTCTAAGTTATCTTTATGATTGAAACTATTTTCATGTTCTAAAACTCGTCGATTAGCATTTTTCCAGTCATTGTATCCACTATGATATGCGCTCGTCGTATCAGACTGTCCAAATAGCATAAATGGAACGCAGAAAACGCATCCTTTTGATGGTGAATAAACCAGCCATGTTCTGGTTTTTGTTTCACCATTTTGAAGTTTTTTGAAAAATAAGCTTTTGGAAAGAACAAACTTACTTAGAACACGTTTAGCGCTAGTGTATATTTTTCGATACACGTAGCTAAAACATTGTGTATCTAAAAAGATACACACAGTAAATTTCGGATTCGGTCATGTGTATCGCTAACGCACACACTTTACGTACACTTTACATAGGGAATTAGAAGCTCTGGCCTACTAGAATTTCCTCTCAAATTGGGGTATAGGTTCGATAAGAGTTTTGTAAGACACAGTCAGATTAAAACAACATCTAATTATCATATAAAGATTTATTAAGAAAAGTAAGGGCATATGGAACTAGACTTTAGAAAGAAATTATTGCATTAACTAGTGGGTAACATTTATGGCAAATAAAAATATCGCAAACAGAGCATTTGGTTATAATCTGCGAAGCTTTCACTATTTTATCACTGATTTCCCTTCCTTCTCTTCCATATTTCTTATAGCATTCTGCACACCGTCCACGTATTTTCTTTCCTTCTTTCATTTTGATATCAAGTAGTGTTTAGGTTCTAGATTCGCATTTCGTCTTCTTGATGGTCCAGCTTCACCTTGGTCTTCAGCAGGATTTCGTTCAAGCATTGCAGTGATTACTGCCTCCCTAAACTCTGTAATGGTCATCTTCTTTTTTGTTGTATATTCATTATACAAGAAATGTGCATTTACAAAGCTGGTCCCCCAAATAATTTCAAATGCTAGTTTGCTTGACTATGGGAGCATTTCTTCTGCTTCTATTGGATGTCGTTTTAGTCGAAAGCATTCTGACATCCCGCTTATCGCGCCATTTGGTGACAATTCCGTCCTTTGTTTGCATAACGGACATTTCACCCCTCTTCAATTTGGCGTTTATAACATTCTTTGGAAGATATTTTCGATTTGCTTTTAGTGTACCCACTAAATGAGTGTTTCTGCGCCTCAAGCGATGGACGAGTGGTACACTAGTATAATAATTATCTGTATATATGGTTCTTCCTTCATCTAACAGATGCTCTGCTAGTGACATGATGTTTTTTTTCAGAAACCTGAGTTCCCTGAGGGTCCCTTGATTTGCCGCAATAGACCATCATAGTCCAGGTGTATCCTTTGCCTGTACAAAGTTTGAAGACCTTGATGCCATATTTAGCTGCTTTATGTACTGCCGAAATATCAATCTTCCGCGTCACGGTATCAAAGACTCATCCACGCAGATATTTTCGCCGGGAGTCCTCTGATAGTTCTGAATGAATTTGTCCATCAATGCTCTTACTTTATAAACTCTGTCACTGGGATCAGTAGCAGAATTATCGTATATATTTCCGTATTAGCTCGAATCGGTTTCTGGGCATTATTGTTCGAGCTAAGGGAATGCTGTAAAGTTTATGCGTCTGCCAATAATCTTTTATTGCCGATACCTTTACTAAGCCCATCCAACCCACAAGAGCCAGAAATTTCTCAATTTCACCCAATGTTACTGGATACTAAGCATGTGATCTCGAATGGGCAGGAGTATCATTGGAAAGTAAGTTTTGGGTCGCATACAAGTTCGTTTGCTCGGCAATAAGTGTCAAAATATCGTGTCTCAAGAACAAATCAATTTTGTAAGTGCCTCGTGCTATGTATAATCGTTTGACGAATCCTTACCTGGATTTGAACCTAAAATATTTAACACTTCATCGGACAAATTTTCCTCGTTGTGCAATACAATTATCGACGTTGCCATTAGCATCTGCTTGAGGATGTACAAGAGTCCCACTTGGAGAGGCATCATTTCGTATATCTCCGACTCGCGCGGGGAACGGCCGATGCTTGGGCTAGAGCTCGATTTTGTCGTAGTGCCTTATGCAGCTTTTTTCCAGTTTACGTATTTTCTTCAACATTTGTTTGTTTTCCATTTCTTCCTCCGATTCTCTGGAGGAAGAACGACGTCTTTTATTTTTACCCATAGAAGAATAGAGAATAAGAGTATTTATTATGTTGCTAAAACAAAATGTATACTTACGAAATTTTGTAATGGAAGACACATTAGCAGTAGCAGTACGATGTACACTCTGAGCACAACGAGACGAATGATTATGCTACTAGGAGGTCTGGACGTTTACATTATATAATTTCTATTACTTTTATGACAAAAAATGTGACAGTACAGAACCTACTCACTATTAAAAGCTTGATAGTTGCTCGTGTTTGGGTATTCTGATCTCGTCTTCGAATATTCTCGGGTAGTTGCTCGTGTTCAGGTGTTTGTCACTGGTGTGTGGTTCTAGGTCGGTAATATTTTCATACGGTAGTTCAACCGATTTTGCTAAATCGCTTTTTCTAATCCTAAAAACCTATTATAATTTCCTTAATTCCTTCCTTAAAGTAAAAATATGAGATTCTTTTTTTTTAAAACTGTTTTTCGAATAAACCATTTTTCTACCTCGTGCATTCTCTAAGTTTGTGTAAATAATACAATATTAACTCCAGAATGATTGTGTGGGCTCCTGTTGTTCGTTGCTGGCGGGGCTACAGGAAGTAGAAGGTACAATTGTTGTGAATAGGAAGAGAAGGGTCACTTACAGTACATATATCCGTTGAGGGTCAGTAGTAGGCGGTGAGCTGCAAGACATCGGCTGTGGTTGCCCTCGTCCCTGCCTGCTAGCGGCTGGAGTTCGACACCGGTACAGTTGGGGGGTGGTGTTAGTATAGAGATTATACGTTCCCTAACGACGGAGGTTCTCGTTGTTGCAGTGTAGACGTGAATGTAGAATCGTAGACTCCTAGCGAGTTACTCACTCTTGAGCTCAATTGTTCGACGTAGCCTGGCGGCGTACTGTATTGATAGGAGGGGAACGGGGCGAGGACGGTTGGTATTATTAACAATCGTTTATTCATAAATATTTCTCTACTAATAAAATCTACTATTTGTATAGGTACTATTATTTGAGTCATTATTAAACATTTTTATGCAAAATACTGTTAATGAACCATCTAACCAGTCCGATTCGATGTTAGATTGAAGTGGTTCAAACCCACAAAGGAGTCATCAAACACGACTTTGAGATGTTCCGACTCAAGAAGTCATATTTCATAAAGGACAGTCCTTACTTTTTCATAATATTTATAATTATCTTTATAAACCGTTCGAAAGAAACGAATAACGAACGTAGGTAATATTGTTAAGATTATTTTCCTTTATCGTCGTACTAGAGTATAATCCCTTCTAATAAGAGTGACATACTTTTTTCTTCTTAGTCCATCCTTCTTCACAAACATCGCGCTTTCGTTTTTTGGTAGCACAAGATTTTTTAATTATGTTAAATTGAAGAGTTTTATGAACACTTAAAACATATTTTCTAATTTCTCTTATACTCACTTCATTTGTAATGCCAAAGTAGCTTTCGATAGGTGCATTACATGACCTTTCACAAATGATTATGTATGACCATAAAGATAAGTATGTAATGTAACGTTTTAAAATTACCTGGAAAAATTATGCGTAGTAAAGATTTTTATCTTCCGTTCCTTCATTGCATATTCTTGTTGCTATGGATTTTCCTTTATAGTGGTTTGGTCTTCAAGTGAGGAGAAAAGCTCTAAGTAGCATGGAAAACTTTATTCTACTAATTTCGCTGGTAACACGAGACACAACTGAGCAGGAACTAGGCTTCAAGACTTCTCCTTGGTGCCTCGTAATGTTTTTGGTTTTATCCTTGTCCCCAGGTTTCTACTTTAATTACCCTATCCTAATTAACACTTATCCGGGTCATTACCTACTCTGTGCTTATGTACCCTAATAAACAACAACTAATTTATGTTTACAGCCTACTTATTCTAATCTCATTTGCTAAATACATTTATTTGGGATAATCTCGGATAATTCAAAGTATTATTTATATGGCTCGTATATTCCCAGAAAGCAAAATATATTTATTGGGGCAGGTACTAAATGTAATTATAGCGAACCGCTACACTTTTATTATCAAGGTGTATATAAAATAATGATAATTTTTTTTTTCACAACAGCAACTGTTAATCCCTCGAAATTCATTTCTTCTATTATTGCCTCTGTCGCCGTTTTCTTCAAACTACAGTTTTTATATGAGTCACTAGAATTATTCCACAGACATTCATTCTGTTGATAGAGATCTATAAATTTAATGATTTTACTTCGTCCAATTTAATTTAGACGTTTTGCCTGCTTTTTTACGAACAACAGAAATATCTGTTTTAATCGACTGTTAACTAATTCGGGAGTGTTTAGACGGTCGACTGCTAGTTGAAACGACCGAGTTGTTCCACCAAAAGTAGCCACAATGTCAACTTCTAGTTGAACGACTGGTAGTCACCCAGGCTCGGTTGAAATCGGGTTTACATGGGCGATCGTAGACGACTTTTAGTCGATCAACTTAGTCGTTCGACTAGAATCTGGTCTAAAGCGGGGTTTACACGGGTCGATTTTTAGCCGTGCGGCTAGTCGCTTCCAAATCACCTCATCCTGCTGCATCGCTTGCCTATTTACACAGGTGACTAAAATTGCCTGCGGCACGGTCATTCCCTTCGAAAATGTTGAGAAGAATAGGTGTTCGTGCCGGAATTGAAATAGTTATTTATTCAATTATTCAAAAATTGCTTGAAGAACAAAGAGAGATGAATAAACAAAAGGAAAGAAGAAAACATAAATGTTGGGTACGTGGATGGATTTCTCGACGTAAGGTCTTGGGTGCCTCGGATACTTTACTGATGGAATGGAGTTTAGAAGATCCTGATTATTATAAAAAACGATTAAGAATGACTACTGATCAGTTTGATACTTTACTACATAAGGTTACTCCGTTTATACAAAAATGTGATACGAATATGCGCTTTCTCCGAAAATTAAATTAGAAATAACCCTGAAGTTCTTGGCTACCGGTGATAACTACCCAAGTCTTGCAGAGTCATTTAGAGTTCCAGAATGCACGATTTCCCTATTTTTGAAGGATGTTTTGGATGCTATATATAGTGTTTTGCAGGATTACATTATGGTAAGTGAAACTCGCAATTAATGTCTAAACGATATTATATATATAATATTTATCAATTTTACAAAGTATCATCTAAGCTAGATCTAATAGCTTGAGATAAAATATCGTATTGTCCAGTATTTTCTTCTGTTAGTAAACAGCTGGCAAAATAGTCTTCTTCATTTTGTAAGTGGTTTTCGGAAGTGGAAGCTTCGGAAGTCGATGTATTGCGCTGGTTTCGAAGAGTGGATGCTTGGTTTCGAGAAGTGGTAGCTTCGGCTTTGGGAGTCGAAGTATAGCGTGTATAATCTGAGAATGAGCTCGTTGGTCTACAAATTGGAAGATATTGTGCATTTAAGATTTTCAGTCTTTCTTCTGACAAATAATTATTGATTAAAGTTTGACAAACAATAGCATTTGCTAATGACAAACAACGTAATTGACTTGCCACGCGTAGTCCAAATGTGTCAAATTCATCTTGACGAATATTTTGAGCCAAAGTTTCTAATCTATTAACTGCTTCTAAAACAGATCGGTCCACTGTACGAGTAGGTGGGTTCATTATTCGGGCACGCTCCGCTGTTTTCTTTGGAGACATTTTTTTTTCTTTTGTATATGCTCAGTGGATTCCTGTCCCAATTCATCAAAATATGAGGACGCGTCGGTGTTTTGATCTTCGCTTTCTTTTGCCTGAAACCAAAAACTAATATAAATTTATTTGTTTTAGGTGCCATCCACAAGAGATCAATGGATCAAAATACAAAAAGATTTTTTAGATCGCTGGCAATTTCCTTTTTGCTGTGGGGATATTGACGGAAAACACGTCTTAATACAAAATCCACCACACGGAGCTTCAGACTATTATAATTACAAAGGCACTTATAGTGTGCTGTTGTTTGCTATAGTGGATGCACACTACCGTTTTATATATATAGATGTCGGAACTAATGGACGCAGGAATGATTCGCATATTTGGAAAAAGACAACGTTCTACAATGCCCTTGAAAGTAATAATTTAGAACTACCTAATAAAGGAGTTTTCGTTGGTGATGACGCTTTCCCTATGACAACCAACCTAATGAAACCCTATTCAAGACATGAACACAAACAAAAAAGCCTTTAATTATAGAGTATCGAGAGCACGCCGATTCGTAGAGAATGCCTTTGGTATAATGGCTTCCCGATTCAGAGTATACAGAAAACCTATATCTGTTTCATTGGATAAAACTGATTCTATTATTAAAGCGACATATGCGCTACATAACTGGCTTCGGACTAATCGCATATACATGAATACTCCCGAATTAATTGACGAAGAGGACTTCTGTTCAGGTACAATCAGACAGGGAAGTTGGAGAAGCATCCCTGCGGAAGGAGTAGTCGAATTAACGACACCGTTTTCTTCTAACAACTATTCACGAAATGCGAAAAATCTGCGCGATATATTTGCTGACTATTTTGTAGGACCTGGAAAAGTTCCATGGCAAGATAGAATGATTATGTAAAATGTTGTACGTTTAATTAAGATAGAAATAGCCCTGTTTACGTAATATTATAAAACACAAACAAGAATACTTATTTAATAAAAAATAATAATACTTACTATGTTATCTGTTCTGTTTCTTCCTTCTATCACTGGCTTTAAAAAGCGGTCAGCTACAGGAGACCACCTTAATTGAGGTGTGTATAGCTCATCCGTGCCCGCACCACTCTTCTTTGACTTTGCTACCTTACTGGCCTCTCTATTATATGTGGTTCGTATATTTTTTATTTTTGATTTAAGCTCTTCAACTGTTAAGGTCAAACGCATTTATTGAATAATCGATTTGAGAGACGCTAAACGTACATTATTGTTCCTGTAATCTTGTTCTTTTGGGTTCCATAAGCATGGATGCCTTTCATAACATTCCAAAAACTGTATAGTATTGTTTTTATTCATTTTATTCATGTTGTATCCAAAACGTAGTATCTCGATAGTGACAAAACATGCGCGAAGCACAACTTCATGCGGCGGGCGATCGCCTGCAACTGATCGATTACACGGTCGATTTTAGTCACCAGCCGCATGCGGCCGGTCGCCGCGCGGCCAAAGTCGGATGCTACCCAACTTTGGGGCTTGCGATCTAGCCGAATTGCCATTTAGACAGTCGATTTTCGCCGCGCGGCAGAAATCGTGCGGCTTTAGTCACCCGTGTAAACCCCGCTTAAGGGTTCTGAACAAAGACAGTTATCATTTTTAATATTTGATAAGTATTCGTCATATATCATTTCGTTTTTCGTTAATTTAATAAGTTCCGATTCTGCATAATCCACTGCAAGTCCTTTATATCTTGAGGAAGTTAGTATTACAATATTATAAAACCATTCTTCTATTATAAGAATATCGCTTATATTGAAAATAGAAGTAAAGCTTTCTTTTAAAATAGTTTTTACGTGACTGTCATGCATAATAGCTATTAATGCAAGATAATATTTTCATCATGTGAGCACAACATAGAACCAAATGTGTTACATTTTCTATTTTTTTCTGTTCAAAAATATAGTCATAGCATCGGTTTATATAATGAATAAAGGGTTGTTCATTAAACTAACAGCATTTATTTCTGCCATACTAAAATATGTAACAACTCGATCAAAAATTGGCCATTTTCAACTGTGTGATAACCAGAATGACTTAACCAGCTTGATATGGAATTAATATCGTGCATGCTGGAAATAAAATCAAAAACTGTGCACACTGTTTTATTTGATTCATCCCCTTGGATAACAATTGAATATAATAAAATTCTTTTTTCATTTATAGAAATTTTAGGCTGTCTTACTACTTCTCCTGTAGCATCAATATGTACAGTATTTTTTTGCCATTACTTCTTTTTAGTTCATATTTTATGATGTCCATTTGTTCTTTACTATGGATATACGCATACATCGGTTCACTGATCTGCTTTATAAGGGGCTTACCTAAAATGGGATACTTAAGGTTTGGACCTGGTTTTAAAAAAAAAGTTTAAGTACAAAATCACGGCCAGCTGTCATAATGGATAAACCTAACATATGAAAGTATTAAACATACAACAAAAGATTTTTTCTTGCGCGAGTCAAATTTCCCATTTTACATGTAGTTAAGTATGCAATTCGTGGAGTGGATTCTTAACCCTTTCAGGACGGCCGCATTTTCACTTGTTTTGCTGTGTGGACGGCAGTTTTTTGCATGCCGGATGGACGGGTGTCATATATATCGGCCACCTAGTATTTAGCACAAAATAAAATGATTTTTTGACGAAAATGAAATAGAACTTTATTGAAGTCAACGAAGATTAACAGATATTGCATATCGATGCCCAAAAATAACAACTCAAACTAATATTGTATCAAAACTAAGTACTAATTGATTGAAAATACTCAAAATATCACTTTAGTGTGAAATTCTTGGAAACATGGAAACACGCATAAGCCTACGTTACATTCTTTGCACATGTATCTGGAAGTGCTTCTCTTCTTTTGTCGTAGTTTTGTCTGGAAACAGACAGTGCACCTTCTTGAAGCATTTTTGGACTTCTCAGCCGCAGGTACAAGGAATGGAAAGTGCCTTTCAGTCAATTTTGAAGTTGTTGCAGCAGACATAGGTGTGGGTTTATTCACTTGTCCGTATCTGAAATAGATATAATACCATTATCAAATTATGTACAATAGGTATCAAAAAAAACACAAACCTTTCCAAAAGTTGACGTATAAGGTCCATTTGAAACTTCGCAAGTGGATATTTCATATGATGTTTTGTAGAGAACATACCATGGGCATTCAGTACACAGATATCCAGGGTGTGCACAAACAATTTCTTATACCATTTCATAGATTTACGCAGGCTGTCAATGCTACTCATCATCATGTCCGATCGATCCACGGCACCCATTTTCTCATTGTAATCAACTACACACAATGATTTCTTGACATTCTCGTTTGTTGCACGGTCGATCTTGTCCAAAGTTACAATTTTGTTTTCGTGCATAGTGGTGATCATCGTGACATCCCTTCTATCTTTCCATTTAGTCACTAAACAAATATCTGAGCTTCTCGAAGCAGTTTCTCTTTTTTTGAGTTTTCCTTCAAGTTTGGGCATATGGAGCCTATTAGACCTAACGGTCCCGCACGAATTGGTCATTCTTTCAAATAAATAGTGTGACAGTATTGGACTACTATAAAAGTCGTCAGTGTATAGCGAATGCCCTTTGTTAAGATACGGCTCCATAAGCATAGCCACAATATTCCCCGAGGCTCCCAGGCCAGTTATATTTTTTTGTTCAACGTAGGTGTCTTTGCCAATATACATAATGAAATCCAACACAATATCACTCTCACAATCACATAGAACATACAGCTTTATGCCGAAACGATGACGTTTGGTCTTTATGTACTGTTTGAAGCTGAGTCTAACCTTGAACAGTATCATGCTCTCATCAATCACCAAATTTTGAAATGGATAGAACTGATGATTTGAATCTTCGCTTGATTTCTTGTAGTACATACTGGACCTTGTGCAGACGGTTATTAGCTTCTGCCTCTTCATTATTTGCAAAATGAAGATTTCTGAGGATTTGTAAGTATCTGTCTCTTCCCATATACTTCCCATATAGCTGGGGTGTATAGTAATGGATCTACTGACCAATTTTCTTTTATTTCCAATTTTTTATTTCTGGACATTAGCATAGTCAATGCAATGAAAGTAAAAAATTCTCCGTCTAATAATTGTTTCCACTTCTTCTCATTTTGTTGTATTGCATATCGGTAACTTTCTACTACCATATACCGAACAATATCTTCAGTGATCTAAGATCTAAGAAAAATTCAATCTCCAGTGAATCTTCAGTCAGATGTTCGTTCGTCACTCCACTATTACTGTCATCAAATGCATGTACTTTTGGCACAAAGTCGTGTTTTGTCCATGTAATAGTTAGGTCTGTATAGTCTGTTACGTGGGCGTCAAGATTATCGTCGTTAATGTCAACATCTGGCACATCTCTGTCTTCGAAGCTTATTTCATTTACCTCACTTTCGCCACTTTCCTGATGGCCCATGTCATTTTCTGTTGGTAGATATTCGCTCCCGCTATCAATAAACGGCTCCTCATCACTATCAGAGGCGAATATATCATTGTTTTGACTGAAGACTGAAGACTGAAAGATGGTAGCTTTATCTCTGTTTACAGTTTTCGCAGGCCTTCTTAATGCTGCTTTTAGGTATGATCGAATAATTCCTGGTGAAACACAATCTTGAAGAATATTGGCTAGAGGTTTATCATCATCACTGGAGAAGCGGTCATCTGACTCGAGAGGACGAGTTGATTTTGATTGTGGCAGTGTGTGGGTCGAATATGAAGTTGATGGAGGTGGTGTTTGGTGCCTGATTGGAAATGGTGGTTCTCTTTCTGGTAAGTCCTCTTCCATTGAAGTTGATTCATTTCTGGCTGATCAGTGGCGATTAACGGGAAATAAGCCAGTTTTCTCAAAACCATGAATTGCATTATTGGGTATTGCTGCCGTTAAGAAGGCTTTTCCAAATAAAATGCCTACTTGGTAAATTGTTGCGACTCTACTTGGATTGTTCCTTAGAAACGTTTCAAACTCTTGACTGTAGAATGCCGATAAAGGTGCCATAAAAGAAACGTCAAGCGGTTGCATGTTTGTAGCACATTATCCTGGCTTGATCCTTCATCTTCTGGTTCAGTCAGTAAAACTTCTCTCCGTTTAATGTTTTTTCGACTTCTCCTTTGTTTTGGAATATGATACGATAGTAGTCCTAAATTGAAATATATATAGTTTGTTAATAGTTTAAACGTTTACATAAATTATTTAATTTTACCTGCCAAGTAACTGTCTTGCTCGTTTTAACTTTCCAGAGTATAGAAGTGATCGAAAATTCGGGATTTTTCTTCATCTGTAATTCTGGCATAACATTTCATACAGGAACAACTAAAAATAACAAAAATATGTTTTATACAAATTTTAAAGTTCCATTTTGGTAACCTACTTGCAATCCGGACCCATTCGAACTTGAGCTTTTTCTATGCCTTTGATGTTTACATGTTTTTGTCCCTTTACTCTTGCCTGTTTTATCTCTGTACGCATTAAGATCTTCCTTTTCTTTTTTAATGGCACACTTTCACTTGATTCTTATCGTTCGAATTCACTATTACTTGTAGTATTTGTATTACTCATTTTAAATGGTTTATGATGTATGTAGACACTTGTATATGCCGTATCTATGCCGCTTATTAGATATATATTGCCGGAAATATATCCTTCACGAAATGGAATGGTTACTTTCATCAATACACACGATATCTTCTAGAACATATGCTTCCCGAAATATTGGACTGGATCATATTTAGGACGTCAGATATTTTATAAAGACGATCACCCAGATCTCTTTGTCTTTCTTTATGTGTTTCGACTCATTACTGTAGGAATTTTATTTTGAAACCCGTTAATTTCTGTAACAAACAGATTTATCATATCTTCTTTTATAAAATAGTTGAAAAAAATGATAGGATTGATCGATCACGCCTGTATTGTCCGGAAACTCGTCAAATGTTAATCGGTCTCCATTAACGGGCTCCCATTTTCGATTATTTATCAAGTTAACAAGAGGAACAACGTCCTCAGGATCTTCATCCGAGTTGTTTCCTGTATCTTTTTCATCAATAACCTCCAAATCCGTGTCATTAGAACTGTTCTTTTCTGGCTCAAAGTGTCGCTCAGCACATACATTTGTATTATGTTTTGGTTGGACTTGACTTCCGCCCTTGAGTTTTCTTTCAGAGACTTGTAGAAATAGTAATATTTTACAATAATTTGGTGTTTATTACACAAATCACTAAGAGCGTCTAACTTATTTTGAGATATTTTTAATGTTTCATTGTAAAGTTGTTTGAGCCTGATGTCATGGAAACATACCTGATCTACCAAAAATCAGCATATTCATTATTTTAGTCACAACCATTGTACGATAAAAACATTTTTAACAAATATTTAATTCAGAAAAATTGACAGCAAACTGGAAATAGGATTGCTGCCGTATGATAGTACCACAAAGACCAGGTTTGGGTAAAATCATTTTTATTTCATATTCTTTGACGTATGAAAGGTCGGGAACATTTGAGAAGTGAAATAAGTCAACCGAATTATTTCTTAACCTCAAAAAGCTGACGTAATATTCGAAGTCTGTTTCTCGGATTTAGAATTTTTGGTACAAAAAAAACCTTTGTTTTTTACCAGGAAATATCACATTCACAAAATCGCCCTTTTGTAGTTGCCTATCCAGGACATTTTGTATCACCATATCATTTGTTAAAGGCCTGCAATTCTCATTATCTTCCTATTCCCACCAGTTTTGATCGTTGTAGTTATCTTGAAGCACCATTTTAGTTTCATCTTCTGACTCCGAATCCTGCAGTACATTTCTAACATGTAGTCCCTTTGGAGTCTTTTGTTTTTTGCTGCCAGTTTTTCAGCTTCGATTTAATTTTTTCTGGTGTGTCTGTGGCAATAATACTACGATTAAGCTTTCTTGGCTTTCATTTATTATTGCTGGTCTTGCTTTTATTGGTTTTCTAAACTCAAATGGTGTTACAAGTTTACCTCCATCTGTAGCACTGTTGTTGTGGAAGTTTCATCCAAGTTTCATTCTAGTCCTATATGAATAAGCTGGATTTCTTTGCATATTTTTTCTAGATTGTCAAAAAATTTCGTAACATTGATCATGTTGAAGGCTGTAGCCCTTGCCAAACTGCATGGTTCTGGCTTTCGTAGAACAGATCCTGATGTCTCTTGCGAAAGGATTTGAGCCAATCTATCCCTGCCAATTTATTTTTTTGCTACGATGTTGGTATGTTTATTGATTTTGGTCATCTCGTACGCCACTCGGAAACATTAAAAGAGGTTCGTTGGATAAAATGTTTTTACATAAATGTACTGCTTCTAAAAATTCTGGTGAATGTTCAATTTTATTTCCTTTTTTTAAACACCGAGTGAGTGGTTACCCACTTTAAAGAGATTCGAGGACAGAAGAAGGATGCTCACTTACTTTGCGTTGGCTAGTAGGCTGCTTTCCTGGTTTCCGCGCTGTCCTGTAGTTGGTGATGATAATCCAAGAAAGGTATGTTTCACTTCACTGCACTTTTTATTACCTGGGTGAATGGGAGGAAGGAATGTTTATGTTAGGAATGAAACACTGTGTATGAACGAAATAAATTTTCCGTAATCGAACGATTGTTGATAAAACACTTGTGTAGCTGGAGCGTGGCTGTAATTTTGTGTGACTGTTGTCGTCGAATAAGACTGTTTATGAACACTAAATTGTTTGTATCTGATTCTGGTTATACGACACACTTCTTTCGGCACTAGTGTACGATCTCTTCGCGACGTTAGTGTGACACTGTTAATTAGTTTGCGTAAAAGTTTATACGTGGTTATACTCTTCTGAAGTCGGCGATGCGGGTCTACTGACTCTCACAACGAGATTCAATGACTAGCTGCTAACAACAACTGCGGAATTAACGACGCGAGGTTTTATACGTTTTACTGCGGTACGCGCGTCTCTAGGCGCCGATTGGTTCATTGTCTGGATATACTCTCCGAGACGCTTTTTACGGTTCATTTGATTTTCAGACACCCTCGCTTCAACTGACTTGATTTTATTTTATCCGGGTTTAGTTTTATTCCTGAAGGGGTAATAACATGTCCTAAAAAGGTGGTTCCTCGTTTTAAGAATTCCGATTTGTCTAACTGAACTTGTGTTCCTGAAGGGAGGTGCTAAAAATTACAATATCGTCCATATAGACGAGGCAAATTTTGTTTTGTAGATCTTTGAGAACATTGTCCATGATTCTCTGGAAGGTAGCGGGTGCGTTCTTCAGTCCGAAGGGCATTCTAAGGTATTCGTAATCTCCTTTGTTAGTATTGAAGGCTGTTTTTGGGATTGATTCGGGGCCATCTCTTATCTGGTGAAAACCATATACTAAATATAAAGTTATGAAATATTGTGATCGACCTAACTTGTCCAAAATGTCGGTAATATTTGGAATGGGGTATCTATCATTAACCGTTTTTTCATTAACCTTGC